AATCGATTTATCGCAAAGCACGCCGCGCGAGTGGCATCTGTTCGAACTCCCGGCGACTTCCCCGGGCGGCCTTTGACTTCTTCGAAAGACTTTTTATGCGACTTTACCGATGTCTCGCGTGTTTTGGGATATTCCACTGATCTCAATCCGCATTCATTCACTCGATGTCACGCAAACAGCGGAGCGGCTGACCTCGCACTTATTAGCGTTGTTTTTTCTGTGGTCAACGAGCCGCGCCGCAGACGGTGACGCAGCTCCAGTGTTGCCAAATCAGGCACAGGAAAATTAAGCATCGTAAGTTTCTCAATGCTGCAGTGTTACCGAGGAGTGGCGCGGCGTGTTTTGCGATAAATCGATTAATCTGCTTTTGAAACACGTTGGGGTATTTGGTACACTGCATGGGCATGAAAGAGAAAATTGGGCCGTTTTGATATCATTTTCTTTTGAATGATGAATCCAAACGGTACTGCCATCATATTTTTTGGGTGCCTGGTTTTTTTTGTTGTTGTTGATGTTGGTTTTTTTTGTAATTTGTGACATTTTTTGGATTGGGCCGAAATTTTGTACAAAAATCATATTTTTGTTTTTTTTGGAAAATTAAGCATCGCAAGTTTCACAATGCTGCAGTGCTACCGAGTGGTGGCGTAGCGTGCTTTGCGATAGAACGATTGATCTGCTATTGAAACACTTCGGGGTGTTTGGTATTTTGCATGGGCATGAAAGAGAAAACTGGGCCGTTTTGATACCATTTCCTTTTTTTTTTTTTTTTTTTTGGTAATTAGTGACATTTTTTGGATTGGGCCGAAATTTTGTACAAAAATCATATTTTTGTTTTTTTGGAAGGATCGTAAGTTTTACAATGCTGCAGTGTTACCGAGTGGTGGCGTGGCGTTTTGCGATGTATCGATTGATCTGCAACTGAAACCTATAGAAAATGATCGATTACCAGGGTGTTCGCAACGAGCACCTTAAAAATCGATTCGTTCCCATAGCTTCAAATGGGGAAAAATTGATAGTTGATCATTCTCGCCGCGCCACTGTTACCGAGGAGAGTCTGCAGTAATTCCACGATAGACATTTTTGACATACCGACCATACGGGTCGATTAGGTTTTATTTTGATCAACTTTTAGACCCCCTTCTCTCTATTTTAATCCACCTACAATATAATGTCTCCACCTCTTTTTGAATCAAGTAAGACTGGCTTGATCTCCTTCCCATTTTATCAGTGGAAAAGCTAGGGAACCCTGCAAAATAGCTGAAAAATTATGATTTTTTTCCCTTTTATGTGGGAGACATATCCAGGATTGGATATGACTCACCCTCTTGTAAGACTCAGTCAGGGTGGTTCACTTCTTCCCCTCTTTTTAAATAGGTCACGTAATATGTACTTTAATAGCCCCAAATTGGTTTGAGCCGAAAGTTCTTAGAACAAATCGTCCTGTCTCTGTAAAATTGTCCGTAATCGTTCAAAAGACTCTCAGAAATACAGGTTATCGAAAATAAATTAAATATACCTTTAATTATGACCTATATTAGGCAAAGCAGGAGTGTGCTTTATTCTAAATACTTGCGTGCAGTGGCGTGGCGTGAATGATCGATTATCGATATTTCCCCATTTGAATCCGCGGTAAAGAATCGATTATTAAGGTGTTCGCTGCGAACACCCTGTTAATCGATCCTTTACGATATGTTTCAATGGCAGATCAATCGATATATCGCAAAGCACGCCACGCCACTGCTTGCGTGATCATGTTTTTGACAAATATACCGTGATGGCGAAGAGAGCAGTAAGTGCATGCTTGGATAAACTTCGAGACATATAATAGAATGTGTTAACCATAGCTCATACAGAAATGCACTTACTGCTCTCATCGCTATCACGACAGAAATAGCAAACAAAAACAAAATCTGAGGTTGGCAGAAAGAGGTACCAATTTGCTCAATACAGCAGCACGAGATACTGACCTGTCACAACTCTAGTTTTGAACACGAATGATGAATATTGTTATGTGAATGGAATTATTTGAAGTTTTGAGTTTATTTGAAGTAGAGACATTGAATTTTGAAGAAAACTCGATTTTGCAGATTTTGTCATTGCTCCGATAACCCATTAGAATTGTTTAACTTGATTTTGGAAGAAGGTTGATTTTTGAATGGAGATAATCTTCTTTGAAATCTACCCCCAGTAAAGTGAATGGTAACAGCAATTCATGCTCGCAAATTACCATCTGCACTGGAAAAAAAATACATTGGATCTAGAGTCCAGACTCTTAAAAACATCGACAAGAAAAAATACTCTTGATTCAATCGGATTTTTGCTTAAATCAAGAATCAAGCCTCTTAATTTGAGCGGATTTTCTTTTGATTTAAGCTTAAATCTGATTGATTCAAGAGTCTTTTTTCTTGTCAATGTTTTCATTAGTCTGGACTCTAGATCCAATATGTTTTTTTTTCCAGTGTGGATGGAAAATTACCACACAACCAGAGAAATGTCAACGCACTTGGCTGAATTTCGTACTTACCACTTTACTTTTGCATATGATGTTGTTGGAGGTGACGAGTTCATTCAAATCCTGGGGTCACGTGATTGAATAAAAAGATGGAAATCGAACAGATTAGGTTTTCAGCATCACTGGAATGTTTGATTCAGTGTTGTATTTCCTACCTCACGTCTCCCATTTTTTTTTTAAATGTTTAAAATCTTAAGTAAAGTTGACCGTGTTAACACTGCCCCCCTGATTGCACACATTTATCATAGAGGAAACTAAAATTCGCACCTTGGAGAAAATGCTACGTACATCCGATTCCTGTGGTATGCGTATGACTGGCCAATTAAAAAGCTTATTTAAAATTACATAAATAATTATATTCTCTCAGATCCATTGAAATCACGATATCGTTTATACAATGAATTTTTTTAAAACCTGTAAGAAAATTTGTGCATGACGTTTCATGGAATTTTTACTCATCAATTTTCCTTCTAAATATTAATGTCATCTTCTGATATTTGCTTCTATCCTTCAGATTTTTAATTAAGGCACACTTTTTTCATCAATCCCTGAATACTTGTGAGTAAGACCCTTTTAATTTATTGTAGATTGGTGAGTCGCGGAATGCCATTTTTAAAAAGAAGTCTCTTTGAGTGAAAAGTTGGTTTGCTCTGTGAACATTTGCGGCAAATTGACAACATCGTTTTTCTCCATTTAAATCCATGGAAATGTATCTATTCTTGGAGGGGCCAGGTCGCCAGGTGCTCCAACAAGAATCGATTATTTAACGTAAGTTCAAATGGAGGAACTCCGGTGTTGCCAAATTGCTGCTTCCGACGGTGAAAAATCGTGATACAGTTTTGCCAAGTTTGTGAAACTGTCGATATAGGATCTGATTAGAATTTTTGAACAACGCGGCAACCACCAAATCGGTGCAAAAAGCATGGCATCCAAAACATGCCGGCTTCGTGGATCACAGGTATAAAGCAAGTTTTTTTTTTTTAAACGAGTGGTGATAATTTTTTTCAGGATATGCAAGGTGGAAGCCATCGATTTCCGGCTAGCTATACATTCGTATCCACACAATTTAAATTCGAAAATATTGAAATGAAAGTTGCAACTCGGGAAAAAACCAATTCAGAAGTAATTTAGTTTATTACCTTTTTTCTGGAGTCTCACCTGAAATATTATCACTTGATCATACGCAAAAGAGAGTTGGATGATGTAAAGACGGAAAAATAAGGAACACATACGTGCCTTAGAATTATATTCATGGGAATAATTGTGCGATTTCGTAAGATTTAAAGAAACATTATTTTCAACTCACCCTCTTAAAATGTTTTAATATTTCCTCTTTTAAAAATGTTATGAGCCTTCGTTCTTTGATGATGAAAATAGCTTGGTGATTTAGACGAGCATTTTTACAACCATTGTGGCTATAGGTTGCACAAAGTAAGATTAGTTTACAAATTTTAGCTGTCATATTGAGCCGCGGTACCAAAACATTTTCATATCTCACCGAATTATAGCACATGATAAACATCCAAGACATATTAGTAAGACAATTATGCTTTCTTTACAGCTTGCTAAACTTGTCTTCTAAACTTGGCCTTCGATTCTGTGAGGGCTAGACAAAAATTCGGCGACGGAGTTTATCCTTGCCCTGACAAACGAACCTAACTCCGGGATAAAGTTGCAAAATTAACTGAAAAAGTTCAATTTTTTACAAGGATACGTCCAAACTTTTTTTAATTTTTCGTGAAAATGTCGGTATGCAAATTCTTGATTCAAGAATACTTCTGGTGGCTTTATAAGATTCCTCTTTTTCAGTGCATTTCCAATACACCCTACTTTATTTTAGAGTACTTTCATGACAAAATGCCGCATCGTGCTTCTAATTTTTTTCCTGCAGGTGATATCATACTCATTGGCACCCTTGTGAGACCACTTGGACCACGTTAAGCAGGAAGGATCCAAGCCACATCAGCTGTCAAATTTAATTGGGCAATTTAATTTTTCCTTGAAAACGGATGAACGTTTTTTTCTTGCAAATTTCAGTGAATTTTCTACATAGTACGAAACAAATTCCTTAAGAATTTTACAAAGCCACACAAACGCTCTTTTGTAAAAAATTAAATTACTCGGTTATATTTGGCAAAAGTTAATGTGGCTTGGTTCTCTCCTGCTAAACGCGATCTACTTATGAATGGAAAGCATCGGCTTTGTTTAGAGAAATTCTCATTTGCATCAAAAAGAATCTTCAATTAATATGTTTTTTTAGAGGAATTTTGGTTGTTTCAAAAATGATTCAAATTTACTTTTATATATTTATTTACTTTTAAATATTTTCTAATTATTTTTTTATTTTCAAAATTTTTACGACTGAGATATAATATCAGAAAATATGCAATGAAAGCTCCTTTTGATTTGAGTAATGATTTTTTTTCGATGTTCTATCGTTTCTCCGCCAGATCGGAAGGCTCATTAAAGGAATAATGGAATAGCGAAATATGTGTTTTAAGCAATTTTTATTCAAAAAATAAAAAATACACTTAGATACAAAAAAGAAAAAAAAATCACAAGTCACAAGGAAAAACAGAAGAGAAGAAAGATAAATAGAGAGAGGAAGAGAAAGGAAGATCAAGAGAGACAATTAACCTAAACAAACAAAATATACAAAAAAGGCGGGAAAAGTGAGATTTCGACGTCGTTACAAAAACAAGAATTTTACAGAGGAAGAGATTGCAAGTATAGGAACACAAGCTATTCTTTTGTTGACGGGGGACTTGCAAGGAAGTGGTTCTAGATTACGTGATTGGTTTCCCGACTTGGCGCCCCGTTCGTAATCGTGCCATCAACTGGAAGAAACCATTATGCGCCTATTTTTCGAGGCTGTATTCATGACATTGATTCGATTTTACGGCTTTAAATAGAATCAGTCTAACTGCATTTCACGTTGCCTGATTTCCGAATAAAATATATTATACAGATTATACGTGCCATATTATAAAATATAATAATATATGTATCATATACATCGCACGATCACTAAAATGCAGCGAAGGATCGTCAAAATGAAGCTCTAGAACGTTGTTTGGTTTTCAGTCAAAAAATAAAACACGAAAAACCTAAGTAACGTATAATGAAGTTAGACCAATTCTAAATAACGCCGTCAAACTGGAGTATATTTCGCAACGAGGAACCACTATTTCCAGCTAACTTTAAAAACAAGATGAATGTGATTAATTTTTCTATGCAGATAAGTCCTTTTACATTTACGCCGGAAATCTTAGCTCCATCTTGCAAAACACAGTTCAGTTCAAATAAGTAGAGTCGCCGACTTAAAGTTGCCGACACGATTACGAACGAAGCCGTTAATTTAGAGGGCACGGCCGGACAAAGGATAGGGGATGAAGAGGGGGTTGGTATTTTGAGGATCGATGGTTTATGCCTTGGCCTTAGCCTTGGTCTTGGCCGTCGTGCTCTCAGCAGAGGAGGCTCCCTGGGGGTTGACGACTGGGATCTCGGGGTACTCGAGCTTGACACCCTCTTCGCACTCGAAGATGGGGCAGCATTCCGGGAAGGGAGCAGTCTTGTTGGTCTTCTCGGAGAGCTTGCACTTGGGGTTGTTCTTGGGGAGAGGGCCGCAGTCCTCGACGAGCTCCAGGAGGGTGGCGCCGTCCTCAGCGCGGACACAGGTGGAGCGTCCGCAGAAGGGGGCTAGCTCCCAGGTGTGGCCGGGTTCGATGGTGGCGCACCGGGTGGAGGCGAAGCACATGCCGGGGAAGTCTGGAACACACGGGAAAGGAGATCGTTAGTTCTTCTCTTCAAAATTCTATCAAGAATAAGTAAAGTACCTATAAGGAAAGTACGGACTTGTCGAAATAGTTACACTGAAAAAAAAGTAGCTTGGATCAAGCATGATAATTCTTGAATTTGCCGCCAAGAATTTTCTTTATCTTGCTTTAAGCTGACTTTTTCTTGATTCAAGAAAATTAATGCTTGGGTTAAGCAAAAAAGTAGCTTATATTAACCAGCAAAATTCTTGATTTAAGAAGAAATACTTCTTGGCGGCAAATTTAAGATTCTTTTTTTTCCAGTGTAGGGCCAAAATTTTGGTTTTTTGGAAATTTTTGGAAATTTTTCCACGATATGCATTAGGACTAGTTTTACTTGAAATGATTAATGTTTCGATTTTTTCAAAAACTGCATTTATGCGCCTTCCTCCAAGCCCCTCAATTGTTTTAATAACGAATGTAGAAACAACGAATGTAGGAGACTTCAACGCAGGGTAGAAAGATAGAAAATGCCTGAGTGTCACGTAGAGCGAGTTCCTTTTGATACTTTGCAATGATACACGTGATTGAATCGGATTTTTTTTTCGTCGAACAAACTCTCGACACGATGAAGAAGCCATAGTTAAAAGGGCATGAACGGAAGCTTAAAAATCATGTTCAGAATTGACACTTGTGTGGCGGATTAAGACAATCCCTACTCTGTCAAGCGAAGACAAAATTAAAAATTTCTATGCAAGGGCCATCATGTTTCAGAGAATCTAGATTAACGCTTCAAGTCTAACCTCTAACATAAAATCGTTCAGTTTTCTCGTGTAAATACTAATCACGTTTAATTCAAAGGGGAAAGAGGATTTTCAGGATGGCTGAAGGTCGCAGACAGAAAAAAATGCATTTTCCTCGATAAAGTCAAAAGGATTTACTTAGGGTACAGTTTTGTAAATTATCTGCATATTTGGCGAACTGTGTTGTCAAACTGTCCAGGATACAAACGCGTACATTAGGACATATCAAAGCACTGTATAATGCAGTATGGCGTCATTATTGATCAGTTCAATTTGAAGGTTCATTGTCAACTTGTCTGCAAGGATTTATATTTTTTAGTGGAAAGATTCATGCTACAATGTGTCCTCTTAATTGCCTGGTCTTTCTACGTAAATCCTCATCAATCTGAATGTAAAAGGACACCAGCGTCGTCTAAACGGTTAGAGGTCGCAGACGTAAAAAAACTGTCATTTTTCTCAATAAAATCTACAGGTTTTACTCGAGCTACCATTTTGCAAAGCTGCATATTCAGCGACCAAGATTAGCAAACAACCGAGGATACAAATGGATTGTATTCGATGCATCGAACAGGTGAGATTGTATCGATATCGATCGGTTCAACATGTAGACATAGCCTCAAAACTCAATTGAGTAATCTAAAGAATCGGGTTTCTTGTGATAGATTTTTTATCCTCATGAGTATAAAATGGCAATGAAAAGTGAGATTGGTATAAGTTTTCTCATCCTTAGCTCTTCCCACTTAAATCCTGAAATTTTCGTTCTCTGGTTTTGAACCAAACGATATATCGAACCACTATCGAATACGATCTATTGGTTTTAGACTGTTCACTGGAAGAAAAACAAATTGGATCTACAGTCCAGACTCTTGAAAACATTGACAAGAAAAAATACTCTTGATTCAATCGGATTCTTGCTTAAATCAAGAACCAAGCCTCTTATTTTGAGCGGATTTCCTTTTGATTTAACCAAAAATCTGATCGAATCAAGAGTATTTTTTCTTGTTAAATGTTTTCAAGAGTCTGGACTCTAGATCCAATGTGGTTTTTTTCCAGTGATGTTTTGTTGAAAGAATAAGGCGTTTTAAATGCGATAAAGCATTTTTATGGATCAGTTCTATTTGAAGGTTAATTTTCAATCAAACCCTCCTAAAAACACGTCATTCACCGCAAGCTATGGGTATTTTCTATGGAGTCTCATTTGAGTAAATCACTTTAACGACCAATTTCTCTTCTTCTTTGAGACATTAAATTTAACTCGACCACATTCTCCAGTCCCATTCAACGTTTTCTCGAAGCACGTCTCGAGGAATAATCATTTACGGGTGTGATGAATACCGCACGTACTGAGATTGCGGTTGTGACTCAATTATTCCTTTTTAATCAGGGAGGAAATCTCCAGCTCGTCGGTACATTCACTCCTCAATGAGTTAAGATGCTTGACCTATGAGCGATTGAATGAGCCGGGTTAACGTGGAGAGAGTGAGCTCTTTGAATAATTGTTGCGCCGGTTTCAATCTTCAGAAGCGATTAGCGAAATCGAGCTCTTCAAAAATGACTCTTGGGAGAGTAGCAACACTTTATTATGCATTTTTGAACTTGCCGATTTCAATTTTTGTTTTTCTTCCTTAAACTTGCATTCCAAAATTCATAAAGTAATATGCAACCAAAGTGCAATCAAAATGTGCAATCACGAAAAGCAACCACAAAGTGCAATAAAGGAAGACAAATAAATAGAGAAAATAGAGTAAAAAGATTCGAGAAAATATAGAAGGTAGGAGCCCCCAGCTACACTGACAGCCCTAGAATTATTCAGAGTATCCAAAAACTCTAAAACCTCACATTTTCATTGATAAATTTTCTCGTTGTTCATATTTTTCATTTTAATCGAGGAAATTCGAGCGAATGTCATTGAAACTCAATTGCACTATTTTGATCATTTTTCTTAAAGGTACATATACTTTTCTCTGACTATAATAATCTCCACAATTGCTTCTCAAAAACGAAAAATGTAATTCTGGTTTTGCGGCTGAGTTGTCGTTACCTAGATTTTACATGCAGAAATGCATGTTATAGAGTGCGTGGTAGCTTTTTCCAAAAAAGAAACTTACGCATGCTTTTAGGATATAGCTTGCATGAGCGACTCCACAGAAAATTACAATGGCTCCGGTTGGCTCGAAGCAAACATTTTTTTTCTCAAGCTCAGCCATTAAGTCAACAAGTGACAATGACTCAGCATTTCCTACAGACATCAACGCTTGTCGGTCCCAGAACCAGTGCACGGGAAATATTAGCCGGTCATAAACAATTAGTTGAGGGCTAATCAACGGTTTTATGGACGGCGCCCGGATGAAATCCGACAAGACTCAAGGGCAGGCGCACTTCGAACTCCACCCATCCTCGTTTCCCAATCTAAGGCTGAGAAAAAGAATTGCATTGTGGCGACGACGGTGCGAAATGCACTCCAGGTTCTTCTAGGAGTACTCAACGTTATCAAAAGAGATATTTTCAAGGTCGAGATATTGCAAATAGCAAGCTGTGACTGGTCTCTTATCTTATTTGTACAGCCCCGCGGTCCCGCAGTACAGTATTGAATTTAGAAGTTTTACAGTTTTGAATTTTAGAAGAAGACAGGTGGGTCCAATTATGTAATTTTATCGTCAGCGTTAATGAAAAATAATGAGGTTGTGAAGGAACACGGAGGTGTTTGTTATGGCAAAGATAATTCACCAGAATTTTCAGGACTTCTGGGAAATTTTCAAATAATTGCAAAGGTCGCGCATGAACGTTGAAAAAAAAAAAACAAAACAAAAAGAAAACAAACAAACAAACAACAAAAAACCCACGAAAAATATTTTTATTCTCTATACTCAATTTCCGGGAATAAATTGAGAGAAAGTAGCCAGAATCAGTTAAATTCCGGTTTACATTGCCTAGTTTTCTTTTATCATATTTTATTTATTTTGACAGAGGACTGAAGGGCATATAGTTGCAAGAGTCTTAAATATTTTCGAGATAGATTTTATTCCAGATCTTGAATAATAATATAATCGTAGAATCTCAAGTCAGAGAGTTGCTTTTTTTCCGTCCAATATTTTTTTAATTTTTTAATGCAACCTGAAAACGCCAAATAGCTTTCCAGTGGAAGTAAAATAGTTGAAAGTTTGATTAATTTCTGGTCATTTTTGACATTTCTGGTCATATGTAACGTTTCCGACCATTTTTTGTCATTTCTCACATTTCTAGTTATTATTGCGGTAGAGTTTTGGTCATTTTTGACATTTCTGGTCATTTTAATCATTTCCGGCTAACAGTTTGATTAATTTCTGGTCAATTTTAACAATTCCGACCATTTTTGACATTTTTGGTCATTTCTGCGCCAGAGTTATGGTCCTTTCTGGACATTTCCCTCATATCGCTGAAACGCAGCTTAACTTTCTTCCGTCAGAGGCAAGAAGTAGTATCGCGGTCAAAGACTTCGGGAAGATGCAAACGCCTTCAAAAACCCGGACGCAACCAACAGGGCAACCGCAGCTAGTGAGGCTAAACCATCACCGTCCCGCAAAAAACCCGAATTTTCCCGACCTCTGAGAGATGAGTGACAGCGAGCATTGGTAAAGATCGACTCGAACTTAACTATCCGTAGAAAAATGAGACGAAAAAATGAAAATTAACCTCGATTCGGGCGGACGCTCATGCGCAATCAGGGTGGGAGGGGGGGGGCACCGGCGGCGGCGGCGGCGCGCGCCAGGGGCAGAGGCCGCGAAGCGCCACGCTCACTTTCGCTCGGTTTCCGCCCGGCGTTGCCAAGTCAGTCCGAAAGCTCATGTTTTTCCATTGATATTCTACCCTGATAACAATGACTGTCATGGATACAAAGTCTTAAGTGCAGCCCGAGACAATGATAACGGTAGGAGAGCAAGGAGGAAAAACGGGAAACAAGGCTAAAATACCCAATTACTGACAACTGAGACGTTTCGACTCACAGCTGAGTCATTTTCAGTCGGAAATAGAATAAAAATTAAAAAGAAAAAGAAAAAAAAAAAAACGATGAAAACCTGAGCCATACATGGTGGTGGCTGGGATCCAAGGAAAAGACAATGAGCAAAAAAAATGACAACAAAATACAATGTTTTTCTATTGATTGCCATGGCGGCCGAAAAAACAGGTCAATTTTAAAAAGGCAACCCTTGAATAATTGTTAGAGTTCAGTATTTTTGGAGACATTCTTGCAGTATTTGTTTAGGCAAAATTTGCGCCCTGTTAAATTTAAATATAGGAGTCTTCAGGAAAACTAGAATTTTGAAAAAGTTTTTTTTTTTTTTTTTTAAAAAAAAATTATCTTATATTTTTTCAACTGTTGTATGTAAAACTTCTTTAGACCTTTTACGCGTTTTTAATTCTATTTTACTTACTTATTTAACCGCTTGTAAACTATAAAAAGAAACTATCACAACTTATTTTCTACTAATATGGTAAAATATGGTGCTGCGTCCGCACTGTTTTGCGGAGAAAACAAGGCCAAAAAGTTAAAAAAAATTTCAATTAGAGTCAAAATTTTGAGGTCTCATGAGTACTAATACAATACTGAAGGGGGAAGAGTGTTCAGTTCAGGCAGCTTGAATCGGAATATTAAGTTCGGACCACATTTCTTAGTGTTTCCCCCTTGTTCTAGGAGACCCGTTTTTTGATATTAAGAACATTTTTAAAAAAAAAAAAAAAAAAAAAAAAAAAAAAAAAAATCCTCCAGATCTTCTGACATAGATTTTACCAGGCATTGTTTTTCCTGAATGAATACCGTTCCCGAAAACCCGTTAACTTATCGCATCAATCAGGAAGGTCAGATTAGAATTTACGATTTGACAATATGGGTCACATCGGCGCAGCGGGCAGCGCGATGGCCATCAACGGGAAGGCAGGGGTTATTGTGCGTTGACAGGCGGGACGGCACGGGCAATCAGCAATTCATCGGGGAACACGATAATTAGTCCGCTGATCAATGCACCACTGCCCGCGCGCTCCGCGTTACCGTCCAGTGGCGTGGCGTGCTTTGCGATATATCGATTGTTCTGCCATTTAAACCTATAGAAAAGGATCGATAAACAGGGTGTTCACAGCGAACACTTTATAATCGATTCTTAACCATAGGTTTAAATGGCAGAACAATCGATACATCGCAATTCACGCCACGCCACTGTTACCGTCCAAGTTTCCTCATCGAAGTCATCGCCTGTGCGTTATTTGCGCGAATCTCATCCAGCAGGCTGATTATAGACTGATTTAGTGGCTACGTCATTCGATATAATATCGACTTATTATTTCAAATGTAAACAAACACATAACCTTCTTTCTAATTCGCGCTCCTATTGTTAGCACCATATTGGTAAAATGCGTCCAAAAGTTTCTTGCAATCAAAAGTTCTCGTGTTTAATGAGTCTTTAATTGATTTATGACCGATTAATGACGAAATTTTAATAAATTAACGCAATTAACTCATGAGGAGTTCGTACATGAGGTTGTGTTGGTTTGTTTCGGTTTGAATCAAGAGTTCGATGTTATACCGAATGACGTAGCCACTAAATCAGTGTATTGAAATCGATAGTCAAAGCTATAAACTAAGAGGACACAGAGAAAATGGAGAGATCCTAGTCTGCCAGGCTAGGAAACACACCGAATGAACATTCCAGAGTCGCAAAATTTCTCCGGATGAAAGATGTATTTTTGATGAGAGTTATGCATATTTCACCTTGAAATTTTTAGATATTTTAGAAAGAATTGCGTACAAAATAGGCGGAAAATTTTGGGGAAAAAATTATCATAATTTTCCCCGTAAATTCATTTTTCATAAAAGGAAAGATGGGGACGCCTGATGGCTCTCACGGCGTTGTTTCTTAGCACGGCTATATGCGTTAAAACGGGTGAGGGTGGCTCATCACTGGTAAAAAAAACCTCTTGGACCAATGCCGCGGTGCATTGACTTAAGAGTGCAGTTTCTTGTCGCCGGATTTAGGAGTCTTGAACTCTTGTTTCAAGCGGATTTTGCATTGATTCAAGCGGATTTTTCATTGATTCAAGCAGATTTTGCATCGAAACAAGAGTCCAGACTCTTAAATCCGGCGACAAGAAACTGCTCTCTTGAACCAATAGGTTTTTTTTACCAGTGATAAGAGTGGAAATGATGGAATACCTAGGGTTACAGGGTCCTTGGTGAGTTAACGAGAGTTTAGTCAATTTCTTGCCTCCTTTGATCATTGCAATCACTCGTTTCCACCAGTAAAATTGCTCCATAATATGCTGGAACAAGTCAGATTGGGAATCCACCTCTGTGTGAATTTTGCCTGCTTTTCTACCCTTTCGTTAAAGTCTCCAAGAACATCCGTTCTCTTACTTAGTTCCGAGTTCTCTCTTTTTTTTGTAGTTCTGCCGAGAGAAAAAGTGGCGAATCTTATCGAAGATATGACAGTTTCTCTTCGATAAGATTTGCCACTTTTTCTCCTGGCACAACTACAAAAAAAAAAAAAAAAAAAAAAAAAAAAAAAAAAAAATCCCCTCCATTTTGGCCTCAACTTGAGAGCTTTTTTTGAGCTTGGGAGTTGATTTCAGAGAAAACCAGTGGCACGATCGTGTCTCTCGCGAACTTTTACATTGGAATCAACAGTCAAATCGTAAATTCTTCACACATGCAACATCTCCATTGAGTGTAAATGACCTGATTTGGAACCGTAGGGCTGCGCGTTTAAGCAAATTTACAACAAAGTGTCGAACTAGATTCCTGGTCAACGGCCGAAGCTCGGATATCACGTTTGTTCGGACGCGTTTCCGTTTCCTCTCTCATCCGCGGATCCGGTCGGAAAATCGTTACTCCGCTAACGCAAGGGCATATCTTATACTTTCACATGAACCCCGGAAAGCATTGATTTATACGGAGAGCAGGGTTCAGGAGGAAATCGAAATACGCCCTTCCGTCGGAGAAGCGACGAAATGTGACAGTCTGCCAGGCGAGGTTTCGGCCAGAGGGAAAGCGATGGCCGGGGAAACGTATAATGGGTCAAAACCGAGGCCAAGGACATACCCGATTTTCAATCTACGGTCAGAACTAATCAACACCGTTTAAGCGACACTGAGAGCTGTAGGACTCATTATCGCAAGAAACTTATAAACTTTGCAGCAGAGACACTTCTTTTAAAGCACTCAATGCACTGAAATTATACGCAGTGTAATCGAGTAAAACAAAAATTGAATTTTGAAGTTAACGCTACTCTCAGCCAAATTATGGTCGATGGTCAACTCATTGAGCCAAAAATCGAATGAAATTCTTATGTTCACTAACACGATTCAGATAAAACTTTGCTTGATGATATGTGCCATTTATGATCTTAGGTCAAAAATACATCTAACAAAGAAATACCCTAAAATTCGAATTAAATTAGTCGTGGTTAAAGATCAAAGTTTGGATGATGTCGGGTTTACAACAGTATTTAGGGTAAAGCTGCCTTTGTAACTTTGATCAAAGGATGAAACCGATTTCACACCTATCGTACTTTCCCGCTTAATAAACGTAAGGAAGGTATCCTTAAGTATCCAATTTTCCCTGTATAGAGAAGAATACACGGAAACATAAACTGTCTCAAACTCAGTTTTCTTATAAAGTGGATCGAGACGACTATTAGTAACTCGACGGTACAATTGAGTTAATTCATGAGCTTTTAGAATCTACTTGGTTTTATTTGAATATTTATATGATTCCTTATGATATGAAATACATAGTTTGCTTACAAATTGAATAAAACAAAATGAAGTCTGGTTTAAACGTGCAACGCAACGTTTTACGACACACCATTGAGCATAACATCTGGATACAACTATTCGTGTTCAACGGTTGTCCTCATTGCATACACAAAAAATTGAAGGCGTTTTGGTACTTTTACCCCGACAGCAATCAAGCTTCATTGAGGACCCTTCACAGAGTCTCATTCTCCAGAAGTATGTTCGGTGCTACTTGTATTGCAAGCAAACAGCATGTTTCATACTGCCGTGCTAAGGAAAAACGCCGTATGAACCTTCAGGCGTTGCCAAATTTCCTCTGATAAAACAAGAATTTCCTGGTAAACCTATGAAGATTTGTCTTCCCTTTTTCAGATAATTTTGTTCTCAATTTTATCTACAAATCTAGGAAATTTCGAGGAGAAATACTCATAACTTTCCTCAAAAATAAATATATATCTGGAGGAAATTTGGCAACTCTCGAATGTTCATACGGCGTTTTTCCTTAGCACAGCAGCATGAGTGTAGTCAAAAAGATGAAAAATAAATGACAGGTTTGGTAATTACCTCTGAGGACATCAGCGGGGATAAGCCGCCTGAAGGTCTTCGGTCTTTCGTCTTCTTTTGAGTCATCTTTCTTGTCCTCAGCGAAGACGGCGACAGCCACGAAAGCGGCGGCTACCACGAATGCGTAAGCTTTCATTTTGCTGCAACAAAAGAAAAACAAACGATATTATAGAAAAACCTCTCTTTATTCTGCAAAATATTTCAAGATCAGGTATCATTGGTAAAAATAATGGATAAGTAAAAAGTCGGGCGCGTTTGGATTCAGGAAGGTTCTGGGTCTTTCCTGTGAGCGGAAAATCCAAAAATGTCGCCACCAAAGCGAAATACAAACGTTAATAGCTAGGCTAAGAGTGAATTTCAGTAATTTTAGCATCGATCTTGTCTAAAGTGGAATTTTGAAGAGGAAATCTGTACCATAATACCTAAATTCGTATCTTGTCTGGTACCGGGCTAAGGAAAAACGCAGTATGAACCCAAAGGCGTTGCCAAATTTCCTTTGATGAAACAGGGATCCCTCGCTGAACATATATGTATAAATATTTTCCTTTAAATTTATCGAATAATTTTTTTTCGCAATTTCACTAAAAGTTTCTGAAAGTTTCAAGTGAGAATATTCATAATTTCCTCAATATTGAACATTTTTTTTTGGACGAAAAGTAGCAACTTTCGAATGTTCATACGACGTTTTTCCTTAGCACGGCATTGATGGTCCGTTACGCGACATAACCCAGGCCTCAGGCATGGTTTTTCCATGTTGGCAACTAGAGTACCTGTGTAGCGAGAGTATGGACAGATGTGAAACTCCGAAAATCCTTCACCGATGCTTCTGTGAATAAAATTAGGGCCCAGAAATGCAGCCAACCTATGAATTTTAACTATCCAGAACGATTTACTAATACTATTGTTACGAACCGTCGTTATAAAGCACGTATTCGACTCAGTTTTTGCATAAATTTACTCATTTTTGCGGAAGAACGCTCATTTCTGTACATTCTCGGCCATCTTGGTTGGAATTGGAAATTGCAGACTCTGCAGACTGGCAGTGAAATTTTGTGTGTTAGAAGTTGGTTAGAAGGACGGCTGCACTTTTGAGCCCTAAGACCTCCATGAAGCGATCTATCCATACTCTCGCTATAGATTGCTTTCGATAGTGGTTCGATGTATCGTTTGGTTCAAAACAATAGAACATAACCTCAAACAAAACTTTCAGGATTTCAGTCGGAAAAGCTGAAAATGAGAAAATTCCTAACTATTTCACCTTGCGATGCCATTTAGCACTCATAAGAATCAAAAATCTATCAGAAAAACCCCGTTTCCTCGGATTACTCGATTGACTTTTGAGGCTATGTTTACATGTTGAACCAATCGATTTCGATACAATCTCACCTATTTGATGTATCGAAAACGATCTATACAGACAGGTACTCTATTGGCAACCTGCAGCTCTCCGGCAAAAACTTTTACAAAACAAGGAGTCATCATTATGCAGTTTTGGGACTTTTTTTTTTAGATCTGCTCTGAGTTTTTTTCCCAAACGCGAGACACCGGTTTCCTCCATCGGATTTGCTCATCACTCACCGAATCGAGCGGGAAACGGAGCGATTGCGCGGGACAGATCCGGCGCCGGGTTGCGCTCTCGTTGACTTTGAGTGCAACGGTCACGCAACGGTGCGCTTCTGCTCGGGTTTCCCTGCGCTTTTCCGCCGGGGAAAGCATAGCGCACCCGATTAGCGGTTGCGACAGGAAAAGCCAACGCCCCGTTTCCGCTCGGCGGAGGATCCTTCCTTCGCCTCTTTCCGCCTTTCAAGGGTGAGTGGAAAATAAATCGGAGCCGATGATCGATCACTAACTCGCATCTTTGAAGACCGTCATACGAGACTTTCTATAATACTGCCGTGCTTAAAAAAAAACTCCGTTAGAGCCATCAAGCGTTGCCAAATTTCCTCGGAAAATCTCGAATTTCTGGGAACATTTGTGAATATTTCTCCTCGGGTTTTTTAGAGGATTTCGTTCGTAATTTAATCAAAAAAGTCAAATCTAAAAGTCTCTTGGATTCAGAGTACAGACTCTCAAAAATTTAACAAGAAAAAATAATCTTGATTCAATCGGATTTTCGCTTGAATCAAAAGGAAGAGGCTCGATTCTCGATTCAAGCGAAAATCTGATTGAATCCGGTGGAATGGACGACATACTGTTGGAAACTTAAGAGGTGCCGTTAGCTTGTCGTGAGTTCAACCCGACATAGGCACGACAAAGCAGCGATAAGACATAGCCGACCAATCACGCTCCGCCTTTTAACCTATGTCATCTATGTCGACCCGACGAAAAAAAATTTCAACAATCAGGCGGCTGAAGTACTTTTTTCTAGTCAAATTTTTTAAAAGTCTGACCTCTGGATCCTAATTACCTATTTTGTCCAGACTATCTTAATCTAGTTTGCAAAAAACCAACAAAATCAATTTTTTTTCTCATAGTTTTTGTAGAGCATATTGTGAAACTCAAGTGTTCGTGTGCAGCAAACTGACTAGGTCATCAAAAAATATCAAGTTTCGGGTCAGTTTGACCCATGTCAATCATTTAAGGGTTAAAAATTGATTCATCGGAACATAATTAACAAATGTATCATTGTGCGAGCGGTAGTTAGTCTCGAAGAACAGTGGCGAGACGTGAATGATTGACTATCGATATTCCCCCCTTGAAATTATGGTAAAGAATCGATTATTATGGTGTTCGCTGCGAACACCCTGTTTATCGATCCTTCTTTGTGGGTTTAAATGGCAAATCAATCGATGTATCGAAAATCGCGCCACGCCACTGTCGAAGAACTTATCCGCGCGTCGCAACTCCCGGATCGTCTGAGATGTGCGTATTTTATGATCTACCTCGCGGGAAAGCACGGGTTTTTTCTCGGCTCCGTTGCAACGGTGCACCTTTCTAATCCAACCCGCACATCGCGTCGTTCCTCCGGCGTAAGGGGGTATCTCGATTCCCTCGTGAGCCCCAGAACGCTTGGATTTATATTCCAACCATGGCTCACGTGAAAATCGAGGTACGCCTTTACGTTAGAGGGGCGACGACTGAAGCCGACTTTCGCGAGGTTCCCTCGTCAATGAGTGTGGTTCACCATGCAAATTAGTTCCCGCTTACTTCCGAACCTCTGAATAACGAGTCTTTTCAAACTCTCCGGCGCACGGTGGTTCGAGTCAATGAGAGAAGACGGACAAAATTTGGAAACTTTAAACGCTTATAACTCAGTTTTTACAAAACTTTGCGCTTCTAAAAGTGATTTCGTTGGTTTCCTCGTGAAATTTTCTTCCTTGAGGACCCTTTAAAATTCAAAATGTGACGAAATAAACATCAACATTTGCAGTTTTAGTCAAAAATCTCACGTCCGACCTTTCTGATTGACTCGATCCACTGTGCGGCGGTGGTGAGCAGTGAACTCACGCATGGTGTGGGCGCAATGCGTTCCAGAGCCGCGTTTATTGTCGCTCCAAAATAAAAAGAATACATTTAAGGGACCCCGGCTTGACAATCTCACTCTGCCGTGCTAAGGAAAAACGCCGTATAAACCTTGAGGCGTTGCCAAATTTACATTGCTGAAACACGGATTTCCTGGTAAATTTATGAATATTTTCCTCCCAATTTTTCACATAATTTAGTTCACAATTTTACCTAAAGATTCTGAAAATGTAAGGGGAAAATATGCATAAGTTCCCTAAAAAATAAATATTTTATATATCCAAGGAAATTTGGCAACTCTCGAATGCTCATACGGCGTTCTTTCTTAGCACAGCAGTGCTGGGGAAGAAAGTCTCTTGAAGCTAGAGTCCAGACTCTAGAAAAATTTTTCCACTTTAAAAATGCTTTCCGACTTTAAAAAAACCTAACCTAACCTAACGTTTGCACGTGTTACTTAGGCATTCTCTACCTTTCTGTTCTGCGTTAAAGTCTTCTAAATTCATAATTGCAGGATATATTCTGGTATTTCTACTAATGTGCAAACCATCCTCCAATAAAATTTTCGTATGGTAGTCTTAGAGGATGCATTTCTACCTTTCTTGTCTGTGTTTAAGCCTTTTAACTAAAAGATTGTACGGATGCTTTCTGGGATACCTTCTAACCTGCAACCATCCTTAAAAGACAACTTTATGGTCAAAGTAATTAGTATCTCCTTTAGAATAGGATGTCTCAGCGCATGAGCAATAAGAATTATCCGCTCAAGCACCGAAGAATAAAAATTACCGCAAAACTATCAAATATTATCTCATTTATGAATCTTTTTGCTTTATTTAAGGAAATCGTATACGGTCCGGTGGAAATATCAAATTTCCTTCGAAATGTTTAGGTGGAAATCTCTATAATGATTCAGATAATTTCTCACCAAATCCTCGAAGCGGCACGACTTTCCTAAATCGCACGCGAGAAAAAATACGAAGAAATCGGACTAACGACCTGCTCGAGGTAAATGGCTCTTGACTCAGAAATTAGAGGTATGATTCGTGGTTATAGACTGTGACGTAACAAACCATTGTAGAAAAAGCGCATTTAATTCGTTTTATACGGAAAAAATGACAAATATCTCACCCAGTTTTTTGATCCTGAAAAGCGAATTATCACTGAAAATTCGGTTTAGAAAAATTTGAAGGAAAAAACTAATGCCTGTGATAAGAAAGTATCAAATATTCGGAAAATGGTTATTACTGAATCTCGATCAATATTCTTTTTCTACGCGTACCAGCAAAAGTTTGCATACTGAAAAACAAATATAGTAGTTTTTACCATACTCAGACACAGTGATACATGTACGGTAATAAACACCAGACTTTGGTAGCATTTACCATATTATGGTAAGCACTAGAGCTCTAGTGAATATTACCGTCATTCTGGTTATTTTCACTAAATAGTATCACTGTGTAAAAAATCAAGTAGACTTATAGTAAGTGTTACCATAATTTGTTTTCAGTGCAATCTCAAAAATTATAATATCTATCCAGATTTTCCCCCCTTTTCCTTTCAATAAAGAGAAAAAGGCTGAGTGTTTTCTTGATTGCATGCCTAACCTCTTGACATTATCAAATTCTGTTTCAGCAGGATAAGATATGTCCTGTTTTACCTTTTAATCATTATGCAAATATTT